GCCCCGCTGCAGAGCCCACCCCGAGCAGGGTCGGCTGTGCCTGGGGCGTCGGTTCTTCACGACTCAGACCCGGAGCCGCGCACTGAAAGTGCGGGCGCTGCACTGCATTGCGGGCTGGGGGGAGCGGGGGTCGAATGCGGGCTTTCTGCTCGTACCCTGTGATCCTGACAGGAATTATGTTCACTTTTGTTTAATTGGTATTAACATAGAACCTCATGTTTTGGGTTTTAATTTTATTTATTTATTTGTTTATTAGAGAGAGGGGAGGAAAAGGAGAAGGAGAGAAACATCAATGTGTGGTTGCCTCTTGCCTGTCCCCCAACCGGGGACCTGGCCCGCAACCCAGGCTTATGCCCCGAGTGAGAATCGAACCGGCGACCCTTTGGTTCTCAGGCCAGCACTCAATCCACTGAGCCATACCAGCCAGGGCTTTTTGTTTGTTTGTTTTTGACAACATAGAGATTTTTTTTTTTTTTGCATCAGTTTATGATCTGACTTTTCCTAGATCAAAGTCAGTGCTGATGTACCTTTTTCCCCACTGGAATTTTCTTAATATAAACAAACACTAATTTCCGTTAATACGTACATGTGTTAATTCCCCCTTGTTCTCTTTGTATGTGTGTGTTATAAGCATGTAAAGTGTTTCTAGGGTTGAGTTAGTTCATTTCTCTGCTTTGTGGTTTTTATTTATCTTTTAAAAATTTTTGGTAAGACCGTCTTAAGCCTCTGTGAGTTACGGCCGTGTCTCCCTTCCCTTCCTTGCAGCATCTGTACAATTCCGCAGCCTTCAAAGCCCGAACCAAAGCTCGAAGCAAGTGCCGGGATAAGAGAGCGGATGTTGGAGAATTCTTCTAGATTTTCAGCATTCGAAGACTACTTTCTAACTTGCGATTTCTTTTCTTTTGTAACTTCTAATGTATTTAAACTCTAGACGGTTTTTATCTTGGGTCGACACGGATAGCTTTTGTAGCAGGGGTTGTATAGTACTTATAATTTAATGTATAGTATTGCAAATGATGAGTTCTAATGGTCTCTGTAAGTATCAGTAAACCATGAACAAAGGGTCATGTTTTCTATTTATGAAGAGAGCAGAAATACGGTGTTTCATGATAAGAAAACTGTTAGCCAAGATGAAATATACTATTGTTGTCAGATATGTTGATTTAATGATATAGATATTACAACGTATTTAATTTAGGGTCTTAGACAAATGAGATGGATACAATTTTGGGAGCTATTTCTTCTGGGAAAGCTGCTATGTTTTTAACTCTACGTAGAACCTAACGATTTTAGTTTTGTCACTTGGATCAACAAAGGGAATTCTGCCACAAGACCTTACAGCCACACCCCCAGGCCACTCAGCCCGCCCGCGGGAGTCCCGTGCGAGCTGGGGGGTCGCGAACCCTGACCTCTGAGGGTCGTGACACGAGTCCCGTCTGTTGTAAGACCTGTGCTCTTCATTTGGAATAAAGATCTTTTCACACCACAACTGTTTCTTTTCTAACAGAAGACGCATTCACGGGTTGGGAGTCCAGGGCCAAAATGACGGAGTTGGGTAGGGAGAGGGGGACAGAACCGTGTGTTTGGGAAGGTGAAAACAGATGGGAAAGTGTAGCAACGTGTCCTTGGGGTTCCGGTTGCCGACTTTTAAGACACTTGCTGCTTGGCTGCCCCACGAGGTGGTTCTTCAGTTTTTGAAACATCATCAGCCACGAGCGTCCGGCCTGCGGCCCAGGGTGGCTATGAATGCAGCACAACACGAGACTTTAATGTACCGAAAACCTTTTTTTATTTCTCTCGTCAGTTTTCGTTAGTGTTTGTATATTTAATGTGTGGCCCAGAGATGCTACACGGTCGGGCACAAGCATTTTGACCCTGTGTTAGGATTTATTGTCAAACTCCTTCAAAGTGACCCATTGCACGAGCCACAGCGGCTGCTGCCTGGACTCCACAAAGTCCTCGGTCCCCTGGCTCGCCAGGGGTCACCCATAGTCCCCTGAGGCAGGTGCCCCGCCCCCGTCCCCACTGCCTTCTTCCCACTGTCGACACTGCAGGAGTCTCGTTCATGTCTCCTCCTGTTTCCATTCTGGTAGTTTCCTCATTTTTATTCCTACTCTGCCTTCTTACCAGGTTTGAGGAGGAAGAAGAGGTGAAGGTGATCATGTGCAAACAATGTCCTTTTTATTCCTGAAATCGGTGGGTGGTTGCGGGGCCCGGGCCTGGTTACTGGGGATTCAATGTATACAAATCCTTGAGGGCTTTTTTTTTTTTTTTTTTGCGTTTTCAAGCATTTTTTATTATACCAATAGAGAGTTGCATTCTGCTTAAAAATCTCAGAAGCATTTGTCAAAGATGAACCAAAAGGAAGGAGGGAGAGAGAGGAAGGAAGACACGGGGGGGGGGGGGCGGCTCAGGGATAATTTGCCCCAAATGCTTGGGCTTTCTCAAAAGGGGCAAATGGCACACGGTGGGCCAGTCCATTCCTCGAGTCTCGCTGGTTTAAAGGAATTTACAACGGTCCCTGCCAAACTCGTTCTTTGTGTTGAGCCCCAAGCGTTAGTGTGCGGGCAGTCTGCATCTGTGACCAGCGCCTTTGCCGGCGTTGACGGAGTTCCCTGGAGTTGAATCAAGATGCAGTGAGAGGCAGTAGCTGGAGGGAAAAGCAAGAAACCTTTGAAAATGTCCCCAGATTAACCAGTTCGTGTCAGAATGCCTGTTTGCTTCTGTGACCCGAAACCCTTTCTGATGTGGCCTTTCGGGTATGTGACAGCTCAAACAGGGAAGCCTCTCTCACTTTTGCTCCTGGCGGGTGTCCGGAGGGCTGACTGGTCCCTGCAGGTGCGCCCTTCCCAGGCCAGAGTCGGGCGGAATTCAGACTTGGGTGTGAGGACATGCTTCGTCTCTCTCCTCCTCCCTGGGCCTGAAACCTAGGGCTCAGGTAGCTCGGAGTTTGTTTGTAAAACTGAGCAAGGTAATAACAGCTGACAAACATTTTCATTATTTAAGAAATCGAGCATTAACTTTTTTTAATAAAACCTTTTTTATTTTTTTTCTCTAGGGTTTTTTTTTATTTTGTTCTTTAAAGATTTTATTTTTTAGAGAGGGAAGGGAGGAAGATAGAGAGAACCATCAATGTGTGGTTGCTGGGGGTCATGGCCTGCAACCCAGGCATGTACCCTGACTGGGAATCGAACCTGCGACACTTTGGTTCACAGCCTGCGCTCAATCCACTGAGCTACGCCAGCCAGGGCAAGCATTAACTTCTAAATGCATAATGTGCTTTTGAATTGGTCCCTGGGTATAAATGAACATTTCTCGTCAGTAGAGCGAGGCCCAAACTGACTACCAGTGTAAAAGGAATTCTGTGGAGTGGGACGGTTGACACTTGACCTGCCGTGTGTTTCGGGGATGACAGGTGTCCGTCTAGTCCCGGCACCTGTGGCAGGGAGCCCACACAAAGAAGGCCACTGCATCAGACCTGGAGCTAAGCCTCCGGAAAGGAAATCGAGGGGACCAAGTGCCTGTGTCACCTGCGGTCGGTCTGCAGCCGGGGTCTCCCCTCACGCCGGTTTTGGGGCTGCCAGCAGCCCCAGGAACCCTCTGACCGGCTGTTGTCCCGGTCGCAAGGTCGAGACCTTCCTCTGGCCCCGCTGACTGTGGTCCTCTGGTGGTTCGGAGTCCCGGGCCAGCACTCGGTCCCCGGGCGTCCACCTCAGGGGCACACCAGCAGCCTGTGGGGCGCCTGCCAGCTGCACAGGCTCGGCCGCCAAAGAAGGACAGGCACTCAGTCCAGCGAGAACCTCGTCAGCCGCCACGCGGACCGAGGCATGCTGGGTGTTTCTCTTTCGAGCACAGTTTCAGCGATATGTTTCCTAAAACCCTTAGGTCCCATGCGAAAAGGCCGGGACTTGGAACCTTACACCTACTTGGCTAAATTCCCTCTAAATATAGACCAACAGTTTCATGCTGGGACTCTGGTCGCGGGAGGGAGGCGAAGAAAGACCTCGGATTTCTAGAAAGTTTTATTGCAATTGCTTCTGAATAGTTTCGTTTTTCTTTTTGGGGGGACCTGGAAGTCAAAGCCCACGTTTCTGTAAGTAATTTGCATGCTATTGCTCTCCTGAGGCTGAATTCTTGGGGCTGGGAGGTCTTTTGTTGCATGTACTCCGTGATTTTAACTTTTGCTAGAAATGATTTAGACTCGATTTGAAAGAGTGCTTTCCCACTGAGACGAGGCAGAAACTCTGAAATGGAATCAAAGAACAAATTACCATGACTCACTCCATAAAGCTTCCTACTAGATGTTTTTTTAATCCTTCCCCAAGGATATGTGGATTGCTTTTTAGAGAGCAAGGAAGGGGGATAGAGAGAGAGAGAGAGACATCACTTGGTTACCTCCCGTACATGCCCCTCCTGGGGATCGAACCGGCGGCCCTGTCTGTGCAGGGGGTGTCACTCCGACAACCAACCGAGCCACCTGGCCAGGGCTTTTTTTTTTTTCTTTTTCTTTTCTCTTTTGTGTAATTTAAGCCTCCTATTAGCTTTGCATTAAGCCCAGTTATAACAATTCTAATATCATGGCAAACAATACTAGTGTGAGTTATTCCCGTGCTTTGATGCCAAGGACCTACGGGAAAAAAGAAAGAGCAAAGCAATTTTTCATGGACAACTGTCTTTATTTGTCAGCATATTTACTTACAGGCAGTCAAAGAACTCCTCAATGACAAAGAGAATGAGCTGTTAGCGTCGACCTAAACCAGAGGAAAATGAAGTTACTTACGTGTTTCCCTCCGGGCATTAATTAGAGAGGGCTCCATGCAGAGGAGGCGGCTTCGGCCCCGGCTGGTGTGTGGCTCAGTGGACTGAGCACCGGCCTGCAACCCGAATAGTCACCGGTTAGATTCCCAGTCAGGGCACAGGCCTGGGTTGCGGGCCAGGTGCCCAGTTGGGGGCCTGTGACAGGCAGCCAATCATTGCTTCTCTCCTTCCATTTCTCCCATCCTTCCCAGAGCGGGGGGAAAAAAAGAGGATCCTGTTTTGATCAGTGTTACTTAAGGAGCAAACTTGCACACCAGAGTCAGGAAGGAGGGCGGTGGCATTGCCCTGCAGAGTTCAGCAACGCTCCAGCTTCTCCGGCCCCGAGGGTCCTTCCCAGACGCCCTCATGACACCCTCATACGGAGCCGCCCGAGAGAGCAAGAACTGAGTGTCAAGCGTCGGGGCCACGGGATCTTGTGTCCTGTTACCGGCAGAGTCATTTGCAGGATCTTGGCGGCCGCGAGCCACACACCCCTGACTCAGCTCTCTCCGCTGCTGGCTCTGAGTTCTCATTGGCATGCCTTGCAGTTCATCTGAAAGTACGTTGAGGGGGCATCTACTTACAAGGCCACGGTTCCGTCCAGAGCACCGCAGAGCCCACTCTGAGTTGCTGCTTCAGTGCTTTGGGACGCGGTGTTGTGCTGAGTCACCTCGTTAGTGGGTAGCAAGGCCAGTAATTTGGAGACTTTGTTAGCTGCCCCGCTCTGGCGTCAGTGCTGGTGGTTAGGATTTCCCAGCTGGTCCGCGACTCGGTGAACGCGCACACAGCCTCCGGGGGAGACTGAAGCGCAGTAATTACATTCCCGAAGGGGAAGCTAAGGCTCACGGACACTAAACCGGAGATCCAAAGAGCCACCACGCCTTAGTCACCACGCCCAAAATAGAAGCGGCTTGGGGTGGTGACCCTCTGACGCAGCACAGGCGAACTTGACTCCTCACCACACAGCAGCGCGGGGGAATGAAGGACAAAGGGATGACGAAATGGAAAGCTTTTCTAGAAGAATGGTTTCGAAATGTCACAGGACACCAGTCAGTAGCTTTGATTTTATGGTGCTATTTTTTTTTTTTTTGGCACTTTAAATCTTTCCCTTAGGAATGCCCATGAGGTATCTTTATAATTGGAAGTCAGTGACATCGATATCTAAAGTGCTTCAGTGGTATCTTCTCTGGAACAATCAGGGACGTGTGTGTTCTTGGTAATTTTTTTTCTTTTTTAAATCTTTTTTTGCATTTTTTAAATTGTTGTTCAAGTGCAGTTGTCTCCATTTCCTCAGTAATTAACATTTCAATATAACACCCTTTTTAAATTTTTAACTTTGGGAAAAAAAAAAACAGGTCCATGATCTACCAAACACACTGAATTTTTTGTTGAGGGTCACGGGACATGTTTGTTTGTTTGTTTGTTTGTTTTTTACAAATACTAGTATGTCTTAAGTATTAGCGGGAAATTGCTGGGTTTTAATGTTTTTATTTTACTTTTTATTTTATTTTTTTAATTTTTTTAGAGTGCAGTTCAAGCTGCCTAGTAAGTGGCTGATCCTTTTTTCAGAGCTTCTCTTGGTATTCACATGTATGGTTTTTTTTTTTCTTGTCTAAACTTGGTTCCTCCTGACTCGATTTCTCTCCACTCCGGAGCTGGCCACTCAAGGACGTTTTTTAAATGTTCACGGGAAGTAAAGAGGCGCTGCCGCCATCAGGCCCAAAGTCCTGGGCCTCCTGCCGTCCGGACAGACGGACGGACAGACGCCCCAGGAGCACTGCTACCCCCAGCTTTGTTTCTGTCGGTGAGCTTGTTGTTAACCGCCTTGACTTCTCTGAAAAATAGGGAGATTAAAACCCCAAACAAAAGATTTTAGGTGTCCCACCCGAACAGAAGTCACTGGCTTCTCAACTCAGCGGCACCGAGCACGGAAGACTAGGGCTGGCTGCAACCCTGCAGGGGGCGTTCAGCCCCCTGGGGAAGCCGGAGGCGGAGGCGGACCAACGCTCTGAGGCTCCTACGCTCCCTGGTAGGAGGAGGGACGAGGTCCAGCACGCGCACGCAGGAAAGGCAGGTGGATTCCGGAGGAGGGGGGGCTCGAGCTGAGCAGCGAGCCAGGACGAGGGAGGGCTGGGGAGGAGACAGGACACCCAGGGGGAGACGCGGCACATCTGCCACCGTCTAAAGGTCACTTTCCTCATTTGTGCGAAGGACGAGGCTCGGCTGGAGCTCTGAGAACAACGGCAGTTTGCCTTCCTGGGGCCTGCCTTTCACAGCATTAATTCAAAGGCCGCAGGGTCTCTGTCTGCTGGAGAGACACCTTAAAATAGACCTGTGAGTCCATCCGGGCTTTCCAGCGTTGCTTGAACTTGGGCTGTCATTAGGGACTATTACCTTAAACGTAAACCTCAATTTAAAAGCAATGTATGATGTGGGTGGCATCGATCTAGGGAAACTGGGGGGTGGGGGACGCCAGAAACCCTGGAGTCTGGCTTCCAGTGGCCGCAGGTTCCTCTCCGTTCCGTCTCAGCCTGCCTGGACTTTGCCTGGAGGACCCACGGCCAGCCTGCAGTGGCCCGAGAACACATTCGAGGTGGAGACTCATGCACCACACTGGGGCACGACATAGGAATCCCAGCCCTGGAGGGAAGCCTCACGTGATTTGAATGGACCCCAGTAAATTCTCGTCCGCTCTCATGGCCTCAGGCGGATGAGCTTGATCTTATCTTTCTAGATGGTTAGGCATGGTCTTCTTGCCCGATGGATTTGAGTTATCTAGCCAGAATATGAACAATGTGGTATAAGGGACATATTTTAACCCCTGGCTGGGTGGCTCAGTTGGCTGGAGTGTCATTTCCATATACCAGAACGTTGCGGGTTCAGTCCCGGGGCGGGGCACGTACAGGAGGCAACCAATCGATGTTTTTCTCTCATATCAATGTTTCTCTCTCTCTCTCTTTAAAAAATAAATCAATAAACCTATTTTTCTTAAGGGGAAATACTTTAAAATCAATGACAAAATGAAAAGGGGGCCGGGGAAAATACAGGCAGAACGGAGACATCGGGGAGGAGGGAAGAGAGTGGGCAGATAAGCAGGGTGTGCAAAGCACTGCACAACTGCTCAAGCAAAGCGAGAACAATAGGAACCAAGTCGGCCCCAAAGGAACTGTTTTCTTCTGGGTGAGCGAAGCTTTTCCAGGCCTTCGGCTGGAAGTGGGATGTGTGGGCACTCCCCACGGGTCCTCGTTCTTGGGGTGCAAGCTCCCCGGGCCGGCCCCGAGGGTGACTCCGCTGTTTTCTTCCAGGGACGATGAACCGCCCCTCTCCAGATGCCGGCCCTCACGACGTTGCTGAGGAGAGAAAGCTGTACGTCGTGGATTCCATAAATGACCTGCACAAGCTAAACCTCTGCCCTGCCGAATCCCAGCACCTGTTCCGTACGTGCGCCCTCCCGGGCTGACGGCCCTGCCGCGGGGCCCCCCTGGGAATAGCAGAGGCTCCTCCTCCGGGGGTGTGGGCGTGGGGAGGGCCGGCGGGCCTTGGAAGCAGCTCAGCACCGGAGGTGCCGCTGGTTATCAGGGCACGGGACTTCTTGGCTCCTAAGTGAGATCCGAACCCTTGCCGTCCAGGCTCTGAGAAGTCCCTGCGGAGTTTCTCTCCCTGGAAAGGTGGGGGAGGGGCTCTCAGGCCTTGCAGCGTCCACAGCCAGGTCACCGGGGGAGCCCCTTTCCTAGAGCAAACTGCTGAGAAAGTGCTCCACACACTTATCTTGTGTTTAAAGAAAAATCGTTACACAGTTGTTGGTCCCAAAAGTCCACTTCATTTTCCAACAAGTGACATATTGCCCCAACGAGAGAGCTAGGGGAAAAAAAAAAGGCGGGGCTTGGGGGAAACCAAAACAAACAAAAAAAAATCTGCTGAACGCTGACTGCGTATCTCGTCCCCACACATTGCGGACGATGCCCCGTCTTTTCCAGCTTAAACGCCGACATCCACGCACAGGTGCTGGCGGCGCTCTCGGCCCTTGTTTCACGGGCGCTCTAAACTCGTGTGGTGCCGATTTTGTATCTCTTCTATTCTCTTCCCGAATCTTGCTTTTCTTTTTGTTTTAAAGTGTGAAGTTTTTTTTAACCTGTTTTACTTGCAGCTGTCAGTCTCAGTGAAAGGAAGACTTTGGGCGCCAGCTGATGGGGCTGCTCTGATTCAGATGCAAAGGCTGTCGGGGTGGCCGGTAGGGGGGGGTGACTCAGGGCGTGTGGGAGTCGAGCCCCCCGCCCGCAGCACAGCCGGTGGGACTGAACCAAAGTCGGAGAGAATAAAAGCCAGTTCAAGCCTCTCCGGTGCCCCGAGTTTCCATTCTTCTTCGCATTCAGTTTAATTTGGGGGGCTACGGGGCGGGCCTTCCAAGTGGTGACGACATGCAGACCACTGACGGTGTGGGCTGAAGCTGGCTGGTTTTATAGGCACGGCCGCACTCCCAGTTCAAGGGCGAAACGTTTGAAAGAACCTTGTTTCCAGAGCGTGTCCGTCCTGAAGACCCCTTTAAGAAACCAAAATCCATCAGGGCCACTTTTTGTTCATATGGGCCCAGGCTCAGCGATGTTCCCTGCAGCGAGAGCAGTTTCCCGGGAGAGAGCCCAGCACTGGGGTCCCACAGCCTTTCCTCCTGGGTCACTCTGGGAAGAGGGCAACAGAGTCTCCACTCTGAACCTTTAACTTCTTTATCTCCTCCACTCCACCAAAAAACAAACAAACAAACAAAAAAAACAAACAAACCACGTTCTGCCACGTTCAGCGTTGACACGGTCTTCAAAGAACTTCCCAAACTGGGGTGAGGAGCTGGCTGGGCCCTGCTCGTCCTTTGAAGACCGATGCGGGAGAACGTAAAGAATCCCCTTCCCACAGGGGGCGCTGCGCGCAAAGTCAGGCCTGGGACCCCGCTTCTCGGCGTGATCAGAGGGAACGGACCGCCGGGACAGTCCGGCTCCGCTCCCGGCTGGGCGCTTTGTGACCCGGCTGTCCGTGTGTTTCGTGCTAGTGCCGGTGGAGAAGGTCCCAGGGGGCGGCGCTGCCTCGGGAGGCGGGAGCTACGGCCTGTTTTTCCTGGGGCTGATCGTCGTGCTGATCCTCAGCCTGGCGCTCGTCTCCTTCGTCATATTCCTAATAAGTGAGTACCCCGGGGGCCGGGGTGGGGGGGTTCCCGCTGCTTGCAGGCGCTGGCTTCGCGGCTGATGTTTCGTTTTGCTCAGCGAAGGCCCCAAGGGCATCCCCAGTGCCGGAAGTTCACTAGGACGGACGTTAAATATTGCTACAACGCTTGAATTTCTCCCTCGGAGCCTCTAGCTGTCAAGCGATAGGCAGTTTATTCTGCGAATTCTAGGTTTCCTTAATCCCATGCATAGGCGTAGATTTTCCCGTGAATTCAGGTCTGTGACATATAGTCACATTCAGTTTCCAGCTCCTTCATGCAGATTTCTCTTCTGAAATGTTGTGCCAGCGTCAGCTGGTGCCTCACACGTCCTGGCCGGCGGGGGGGGGGGGGGGTGCCCAGTTGGCTGGAGCCACGGTTGTGTCTGGACCCACAGTCAGGGCACATGCAGGGGACAACCAGGGAGTGCGTAACTTAGTGAAACAACACACTGATCTCTCTCCTTTCCTCTCTAAAATCAATCAATAAAAAAATTAAAAACCAAAACAAAACTTCATCCTGCCGTGCCCCCCTTGGGTAATGATGAGTTAATACCCAGTTAAACTTTGGGGACGTTTCGGCCACGCCTACTGGCCCGGCAGCAACCCGAAGGAGGGTCTTGCTTCGGCGGGATGGTGAGCAGTGAGATGACGGAGGAGGAGGGTGACGAAAAGACGCTGTGTGTTGGGTGCTGGCTCTGTCCTGGGCACCGGGCTGAGTGCTTGATGCCTGTTTGCCCAGTGCTGACACTCAGGCTTACAGAGGTTCGTGAGTGTGCCCAAGGCTGCACAGCTAGAAAGTGCTGGATTGGGGCTCACAGACATCAGAGGCTGGGCACTTTAGTGCCATTATTCTGCTCCTCTGGTGTGAAGAGGCTTTATTGTATATTTGCTTCTAGTGTTTTCTGTTGAGGGCAAAGCTGTACGAAGAAACAGAAAGAAGACTTGAATAAAGAAGTATCTTTTTATTGGACAATTACTCTGTACCAGACACATAAGTTCATTAACTTAAATTCTTTCTCTACTCCTCAAGGTAGTGCCTAGTATTTCAGATTTTACTGACGAAGGACCATGTTCCAGAGAGTTCAACCCCCCACATTTTCCCAGCAGAACTGGGGTTCAGGCCTGGGCCCGTGTGGCTCTAGACACACTCCACTGCCCAAGGTCGCCCGGGCTGGCACGGAGAGGCTGTGAGACTAAGTCACTTGATGGGTGATCTAACCCTCAGCAGTTCTCTCCCGGGCCTGCTGGCTGCGTGGACTGTCGGAGCGGGGGTTTGCCAAGCGGGCTTTTCAGGGCTCAGGCTGTGACCAAATGCAGGTCCGGCCACGCTCATGAGACAGGTGCTGGTGGGAAGGAAAATGGTTTATTCAAGTGCTGGTCACCTGAGAACAGGGGGGACTCTTGTCCCAAAGCCTATCTCCATGACTCAGGGCAGGCAGAGGTTTTTATGGGGATGGAGAGGAGAACAGAACCAGGAGATCGAGGCAGGGGGTTGAAAAGTTCTCTGTGTGCAGACAAGCACAGTCGAGAACATCGAAACTGGTTAAGGGATGGTCTGCGGTGCGTCATCCTGGTTTTATGGTGGAAGGTCAGCAAATCTCCCAGAGCTGGGGTGCCTGAAGGTCAAAGTCTGTGTCTTTGAAAGTTAGTTCCCAGGGTTTTATACAAACATGCTGTGTATCTATAAGCTGCATATTAGTCGGAGTCCCCACTTACAGAAACAGTGCCACAAGAACGGTGGGGTGGGTTCCCATCTCCCGAGGGTACAATTCCCCAAGGTTACAAGCTGAGCACCTACCCAGGGCTCTGACGCTGGCAACCAATGTAACATTTCCGCTTTCTGTTTTGAAGTTCAGACTGGAAACAAGATGGACAACATGCTGCGGAGACTGGCGGCTGAGGGAAAGGACATAGATGATCTCAAGAAACTCAACAGCATGATTGTAAAGCGACTCAACCAGCTGGACTCGCGACAGAACTGAAGAGATGATCTTCCGAGAGCACCTGCTGACTCCGTGCCTCTGCGGGGCCGGGCGTGCGCCAGGCTGGGAGCCGAGCCCGGCTTCTCTGCAGAGGGTGGATTATCGGGATAGGAAGCCCGCCCTGGGGCCAACTTCCTGCCGCAGGGATGTGAGCAACTCCGCGGCCAGCGAAGGGGTGCACAGGGGCCACAGGGACTCATTTTATGGCCAGGCCCTGCAGCTTTAAGGGGGTGAGGTGGGTGGCTGGCATGAAGGACAACCAATAAGAAGCAAGGTAGTTCAGCTCTATAACACAATGTCTCTGAGTAGTGGTGTTCTGTCACCAGAACAAGGTCACTGTCCCAGCCAGGTGTGGGGTGTCTCCCGCACCTTCCTAAACTCCCGCAGGGAAGGACAGCATTTGTGGTCCAGGGAACCAGAGGACAGGCAATCTTTTTAATAAAGGAAATTCTGCTCAGGTGGTTAAACGTAGACCCTTATTTCCCCAGGGATGGGCGATGGGCGGACGGCAGGGCTGGTTGTGTCCTGGTATTTGCTGGTAGTCACGTGTGTACGGTGGGGAGGGGTCAAAGGAGAGACCCAGTTTATTCCACCAGCGTTTATGGAGCTCTCTGCACACTGCCCACTGTAGGGAGGCTTACACGCCAGTGGGGGACAGAGGAGAGGTATCATTATATATAAACATAGAAGCTTTGTTGGCTTGGTTTCTCATTGGAAAAGACAAAAACAAAAACATCCTTCAGTCCCCCGCTGATTCACTTGGAAGAAATTCGGTCCATCTATGTCCAGACTGAACTGCAGTAGGAAATGGTGCATCTGGAATACTTGGAACCCGCCTGGTGCTGGCACTAGAGACGAGGCACACGGTTTGTAAGATGCAGTGTGGTAAAAAATGAGCTTTAAAGGCTCTGTAACACTAAATAGTTAATGAAATAAACACAAGATGTTTTACTCGCCCGTTTCCACACTCAAAAGCACTTGCCCTGCATGCTCCTGGGCTTAAAATGGATAGCTAACGCACAGAAGACTTTAAAAATCTGAAATGCAGGTTTACCGGAAAATTCTGAGTGGCCTGTTGCGGGGACGTGGGAGAGGAATCCTCAGGATTTGCCGTGACTTCGCTTCAGAAACCAACGAGGAAGAGCCGATTTCTCTCCTAGAATCTGTTGGTGCTCGTTATGTGTTTTGAAACATCTTTCTACCTGCACGGTGGCTGCATCTCATGCTCAGGAAGAAATGATTCTTATTCCAGGAAATGTGTGGTTCTTACAGCACCAAGTTGTGTCCGACCCACCCTTCACCCCACTTTGGGGATCCACCCCTCAGGACCTGCCCTGTGTGGCCGGCGGGGCCCAGGCATTTGCACCCACCGAGAACAGCTTCCGTGGACCCAGTTTTTTAAATACTGGCCGGCTGCATGTCACCCTTTTTTGTGTGTGTGTGTGTGGAGAAGGGAGGAACGTTGGGTGCATGTCACCTGGACTAGGTGAAAATACTGCGCCATGATAGCCCATTTTGGTTGCTTAAAAAGATCGTTTTCATGCAAACAGATCGCTCTGTGTCAGGGTGTCTAAACTAATTTTCTGCCAGCTTAAAGGGATGGCTCCATTTAAATTCAGCAGAGGATGGGCAGAGGGGAAGCGTCTTCAGAGGACACTGCTGACCCACGTTCTCTGTGAGTGCGTTTGCCCGACAGCAGCTGGGACACGGAGAGAGAGTGTCAGGACCGTGAGCCAGCCTTCCACGGGGCCAGGAAGTGCATGTTTTAAATTTTATTTTAATTTGTTTTTAGAGAGAGAGGAAGGGAGGGGGGAGAGAGAAACATCGATGTGAAAAAGACATATTGATCGGTTGCCTCTCATATGTGCCCCGACCGGGGACTGAACCCACAACCCTGGGTTTTTGCTTTGCAGGACGATGCCCACCCCACAGAGCCACATCGGTCATGGCAGGAAGTGCATTTCTTTAAAAAAGAGGAAACATGAAAATAGGCTTTATCCCGTCCCTGTGTTCACGTACTCTCATGTGAGGAAGACAAAGGCTTCTCAGTTAGCATTTTTTAGGGAAAACCTGATCGGAAGGCAAGTCTAGTTTCTATGAAGACGGAAAGGATTCTTGGAAAACGAAGCAGCACTGCAAAAGGGAGTCAGTTCCGAGTGACCAGTGGGTGTTGAGCCGCAGGCGCGGGGCCCAGCGGTGAGCGCTGACACTCCGGAACATTCCGGAGGAGATGGAGACGGGTCCTGGCTCCACCCAGCGAAGGAGACGTGGGAGGTGAGAGACAGTCATGGCCTGTGGACCTCGCTATCAGAGAGGCTGACGCCGCGGTCGGGGATGGGGTGGGGACCCGCGGGGCTGTTCGGTGGGTGGCTGCGCGGAGAGTGGGTTCGGCGCGAACTTGCCTGCGGATTCCGGGTCCAGGCAGGAGTCCCCGTGCGGCCGTGACCTCTCCCGATGACCTCCCTGACCTCGGCTTACTCCCCAGTTCAGGGAGCTGGTCAACGTTTCCGTTGGGGGCTGTTCTGACAGCAGAACAAGCGGACAGAGAACCTGCAGGGGGCAGACAGGCGGCTGCAAACACAGCCGGTGATTTAAGCAGCGCTTCTCGCGCGCTGACAGCCTCTCGCTCCCCAGGCCGCACGGGGACGACCCTACGATGACGACCGCAAAGGTCGCCACCGGCAGACTGCAGGAGACTTCCACTCCGCACCCGCCCTGCCCCCACCCCAGCAAACTTCTGCCACGTCGTTCCGTGGGCTTCGACTTCCGATGACCGTGAGTCCGCCGAGGGGCGCTCAGAAACGAGCTCTTACGGCCGCGGACGCAGCAACGACGCAAAGGACGTCAGGCAGCTCGGAGGTGCCCCCTAGGGCCTGCTTTGGAGCCCCTGTTCGGTGCGGGCGACCGAAAACCCCGGTTCCCGCCGGATGGCTTGTAGGCGTCACAAAGGGGACTGTCTTCGCTGTTTCCCCGCTCACTTGACTCGCAGCCCCCGGACTTTGCCTTGTGATTGCATGCGTGTGCATGTGCGGTGGGGGCTTCGAGGGGCTCCTCGGGGCGCCCTTGGGGCACAGCGCCTGGCTCCCCACGTGACTCTGCGGGGCTGAGCCAAGCCAGGTGGAGTTTCCAGGCCGTGGCTTCCGAAGGGCACATAGAGCACAGTGGCTCTCACTGACAGGAGAGCAGGGACACCTGGTGGCAGCTGGCGGCTTCAGGGGAAGGAGGCCCGTGCACGGGAAGGAAGGAGGCGAGAGTCACTGCCGAGCAGCAGCAGCAGCAGCAGCAGCAGCAGCGTGTGATGGCAGGAAGGAGGGGAAACAGCTGCTTCCAGCCCAGCTGGGTGCTGCGTCCTGTCTGGGGAAGGGGGCTTCAAGGCTAGACGCTTCCCTAGACGGTGGTGAGCCCCATGGCCGGCGGGGGTGGGGGGGCGGGCAGACGGCTTTCCCAGGACGGCTGGCCAACCTGCTGTCTGGCCAGAGAGGAGCCTTTCCTCCCAGGAAGTTTCCCCCCAGCTCTGACCTTCTGGGCCGCCACGCTGGGCACCGAACCCGCCTTATAGCCCGGCTTCCATTGCGCGTCACTCTCGTCTCCCCTCTTGGGGGCGAGCTCCGTGAGGGAAGCACGTCCTCCCGGTGAGAAGACACTGGGGACTGACACGTTCCTATCACCCCCCACGGGCAGACACCTCCCGACAGAGGCCACACAGCAGGGTTGCCTGGGGCAGGCAGACCTTCCTGGCGGTCGACGGAGAGACCCCTCGCAGGACTCACCAGCTTGCCCGCCCTCGAGGTGGGCTGCGTAGAAGTCAGCTTGCCAGGGCTTTTAAGGTTCGGTCTTGGCAAATGAAAGCCCCACCATGAAGCCAAAAGACGCTTCTGCCATTTTGGTCGAGACCCAGGGAGTTGGAAAAGGGCTTGTGGCAAGTTCAAGTGCTGCAGGCGCCCGGAGCCTCGCCCTCGGCTTTCTGAGCAGCCTCCCCGAGATCCCCGTCCCCAGGGACTGGGCACCGAGGGACAACAGGGTCTTCTCCAGCCCCCCCCACCCCCACCCTGACCCATGGGCCCTCGGAAGCTTCTCTTCACGTTGGTAATGGATCTCTCTTTCTCGAGACAAAACCAGTGTGCGGCTTACAAAGCGATGGGCGCTGACCCAGTGTCAAAGGAGGGTTTATCAAACCCCCTAGTCTCGGGCGTCCCAATGAGCAGATCCCCCTTTTCCTTGTTGAGTATGAAAGAAAGGAAATCTCCCCAAAGCAGGGGGCTCACCACAGACCCCTAGGAGACTCCACTCAGTGGCCGGAGCCTCCTTGCCCCAGAGCCGCTGCGGCGACTGTCCTCTGGGTGAAGGCCACAGAGGACCCCGTTCCAGACCCCCCGTGACCACCCGTGCAACGGAGCCCTCCCGAACTCTCACCGCACCAGCACCCTTGCGTGAGCAGCCTCGCTCTCTCTGAACCCCTTCTGTTAACTGCTCCTCACCGGCCTCCCTCCCGGTGCCAGAACCCCCGCCTGTCCCACCCCGTCTCTCCCTCCCGAGACCCAGGGAGCCCCTCACGACAGTTCGGCACCGACTCCTCACCTCCCGGCTCCTCGGGACGAGCTGCAGGAGGTTCCCCCGGGTAAAGCCGATCTCCCGTGGCTTACAGACGGGTCTCATTTCAAAGACAGAAACGATAAGGGCCATGCAGGAGATGCAGTTGCAAGCCCTCGGGACATCGTGGGGGCAGCGTCCTCACCACTGGCTGCTTCGGCCCGCCTGGCCGAGCCGTGGGCCCCCACCGGGGTGCACGCACAGCCGAGGGCAAATGGCCGGCATTCACGCCGGAGGCGCCACGCCTCGGCAGGGACTCTGGAATGTCGTGCGAACAGTGTGGCTTCTGTACGTCCATCGGACATAGAATGAAAAAAAAATGGCCCCTGTGTTCGGGCATCATTGCATGCTGTGCTTTTACTTGCTGCCTTTGCATTATTAATATCCCGGGGCATTCTCGGCTCGACTCTCTGGAAGCGAGCGAAAGGAAATCACTTTGCCGCCGCTTCCCGCAGGGAAGGCGGCCGTGAAGGGTCGGCAGCTGGCAAAGCTCCGTCATGGCCCAAGGGGGTCGTTCCCCAGTCAGTGACTTAGGAACACTGGCCAGAGAAGCCCAGCAATCGGCTCCGGAGAGAGAAACACGAGGTTGGAGATCTAACCATCGCTGGCTTGATAAAAGAGAGAGCTGTGAGCCCTGGCTGCTGTAGCTCAGTGGATTGAGCGTGGGCTGTGAACCAAAGTGTCGTAGGGTCGATTCCCAGCCAGGGTACATGCCTGGGTTGCAGGCCACGGCCCCCAGCAACCGCACATTGATGTTTCTCTCCCTCTCTCTCTCTCTCTCTCCTTCTTCCTCCCTTCCCTCTCTAAAAATAAATAAATCTTAAAAAAAAAAAGAGAGAGAGCTGTGGTTCAGACCAAACAAC